TGATTTCTCGCTTTCTGTCTCTCTGTCTCTCTCTGTCTTTCTGGCGAGCACACGTGCCCTAGGGCAAAAATGTCTCAAAAAAAAAAAAAAAAGATTAAGGGATGCCAGCAGGATAGTCAGACTCAGGTCACCAGAGGAGACGCAGTTACCTCCAGGAAGGGACAAGTAAATTAAAATGCAAAGCTCAAAAGGAATCTCTAGTCTTGAGTTTTAGTTCTAGCTCACTCAGTCTACAGAAGGGTCAGTTCATTCTTTCCCCTATCTCTAGAATACGTTTTAAAGTATTTAACAGCTTTATTTAAGTATACATGACCTAAACTGTAAATACAATGTAAAAGGTTTTTAAAGTTTATTCATTCATTTTTCATGAGACAGAGAGAAAGATAGGCATCCCTAACAAGGTCTCCACACCATGTGACTAACCCCCAATCTCAGCTGGTCCAAATCAAGGTCATGCACACACAGCTGGTATATTCAGGTTCTGGGATTCACCAGGACCTTTTCTATGTGCATCAGTTGAATTACCACTGCACCACCATCTATCCTGTACAATTAGGAAAGCTCTAATTATATACACCCACTTACTTTTTACTTTCTATTTCTTTAGTTGCCTATTCTAGTCTTTTACTTATTCTACTTATTTTAGATTTTTCTCTTTCTTTCTACTTTCTTGAAGTGAATGTTTAGATCATTCATTTGAGACTTCTTTTCTAGTAGACATTTGGTACCACAAATTTCCATAATCTTGCAGTATTCCACAAATTTTGGTATGTTGTATACTTATTTCCATTTCATTCAAAACACTTCCTAATTTCCTCTTTGATATATTTTTTTCAACTATGGATCTAGAAGTGTTATATATGTTTTGAAAATATTTGAGAATTTTTCAAATATGTTTTTGTTATTGATTTCTAACTTAATTCCATTGTGATAAGAGAACAGACTTTGTAAGATTTCAGTTCTTTAAAATTATTTATGACCCAAAATATGAACTCTATCCAATATCTGACAAACCTTGAGGTTAATACAGTCTGGCTGGTGTGATAAAATTATATCAAGCTCAGTATTAGCACCAACTCCCAACAATCCCTTCAGTTTCCCCCCCCACCAGCTTTAGTGGTTTCCTCACATATATTCATTCATTCAGTCACCAGTATTTGCCTGACTACTCAAGGGGAACCCTCAGCAGATCTCCTATTTTACCTCTGTAAACATCTCTTCTTTATAGTACTCTATTAGAATTCTAACCACCTTGGTCTTCTCGGATTCTATTCTTTTGCCTCAATCCATTAAGTCTGTCAAGCTTTGAGTTTGTTCCCCTCTTTGTGCTATGGCCTGGAAACTCACTCAAAGCAATAACTGAGAGCAACCACAGGGCTCCCCTCATTATTTCCTACTTCTCAGGCATCAGTGTTCTTCCATGACTAGCTCACAGTATCTTGCAATCCATCTTCTCACACACATTGTTTTGTTTCAGCCATGAGGTAGATCTTGTCCCTGTATTCCATATTGGTTAGAATTAAAAGGTCTTTTGTTTGTTTGTTTCTTTAACTTGCAATAGGGTGTGTGCACTCTCCAGCAAGCAACAGAGAGAGAGAAGGGAGGGAAAGTGAGACAGATACCTCACAATTCCTACTCCTTCACTTCCCCTTTTGAGATTTTAGGCATGCATACACATGTGCACAGTGTATTTTTCAAACCCCCAGATCTGGAACTTGAACCATATAGTTTGCCATGTGGAATCCAGCTGTCTAACCACCATGCCATCATCCAGTCCCCATTTCTTTTCTCTTTCAAGCAGCCAGAAGGGATAAAGCTGTTTCCTAAATGGAAGAGATCCAGCCATCTCTTACTGCCTCATTCCTCTCTCCATATCAGCTTGGCCAGAGGCTATCACTTCCTGGCTACAGTCAAGACAAGCTCCATAAGTAGGAATTTCTCACACTTTTATTTTGCTAACAAATGCCCACAAATTAGTTTACAATGAGTATTTCTCGCTGGTATTACATAAAGGGTATAGTTGGCTCAGCTTTAGTGAGCTCAGCTAGTTTGGCTTGGTTCAACTCGATTTGTCTGGGCTCAGTTCAACTGACTTTTTGTTTTTGTTTTTTGTTTTGTTTTGTTTTGTTTTTAATGCCAGAGAGCACATCTGCACACAAAAGAGACAGAGAAAGAGAGAGGGAATACATCCCCTTGCATAGGACCCAGTCATGCCACAATCTCCATTCCTCCAGTTCTCCATCCCATCAGGATTCCAAACACACATGCACACACTCAGCATGAAATTGACAGAAACAGGACTCAAACCTGTTCAGCCACGTGGGATCCAGCATCTTTTTGCTCAATACCCAACTACTGGGCTATGGTGCCAGCCCTCTGTGCCTTATTACTCCAGAACTGAAGTTGAGTGCCTGATACTTTCTTGGTAAATGTCCAGAACAAGAGACACAGGCCAAAGTAAGCACAGAAATTTAAAGCTTCTGCTCAGTCATGGTATAACTCACATTTGTGCACTTCCATTGACCAGAGCAAGTCAACAGTGAAAGCCAAAGTTAAATGTGTGGGAAAGTACACTCTACCTATTCAAAGCATGCAAAGAATAGAAAAAGAGAAAATAATTATGGACAATTACAATCTTTTTTTTTGTATTCCATATTGGTTAGAATTAAAAGGTCTTTTGTTTGTTTGTTTCTTTAACTTGCAATAGGGTGTGTGCACTCTCCAGCAAGCAACAGAGAGAGAGAAGGGAGGGAAAGTGAGACAGATACCTCACAATTCCTACTCCTTCACTTCCCCTTTTGAGATTTTAGGCATGCATACACATGTGCACAGTGTATTTTTCAAACCCCCAGATCTGGAACTTGAACCATATAGTTTGCCATGTGGAATCCAGCTGTCTAACCACCATGCCATCATCCAGTCCCCATTTCTTTTCTCTTTCAAGCAGCCAGAAGGGATAAAGCTGTTTCCTAAATGGAAGAGATCCAGCCATCTCTTACTGCCTCATTCCTCTCTCCATATCAGCTTGGCCAGAGGCTATCACTTCCTGGCTACAGTCAAGACAAGCTCCATAAGTAGGAATTTCTCACACTTTTATTTTGCTAACAAATGCCCACAAATTAGTTTACAATGAGTATTTCTCGCTGGTATTACATAAAGGGTATAGTTGGCTCAGCTTTAGTGAGCTCAGCTAGTTTGGCTTGGTTCAACTCGATTTGTCTGGGCTCAGTTCAACTGACTTTTTGTTTTTGTTTTTTGTTTTGTTTTGTTTTGTTTTTAATGCCAGAGAGCACATCTGCACACAAAAGAGACAGAGAAAGAGAGAGGGAATACATCCCCTTGCATAGGACCCAGTCATGCCACAATCTCCATTCCTCCAGTTCTCCATCCCATCAGGATTCCAAACACACATGCACACACTCAGCATGAAATTGACAGAAACAGGACTCAAACCTGTTCAGCCACGTGGGATCCAGCATCTTTTTGCTCAATACCCAACTACTGGGCTATGGTGCCAGCCCTCTGTGCCTTATTACTCCAGAACTGAAGTTGAGTGCCTGATACTTTCTTGGTAAATGTCCAGAACAAGAGACACAGGCCAAAGTAAGCACAGAAATTTAAAGCTTCTGCTCAGTCATGGTATAACTCACATTTGTGCACTTCCATTGACCAGAGCAAGTCAACAGTGAAAGCCAAAGTTAAATGTGTGGGAAAGTACACTCTACCTATTCAAAGCATGCAAAGAATAGAAAAAGAGAAAATAATTATGGACAATTACAATCTCCCATAGCATCAAAGACTTGTTCCCTCTCAATGTATTTTTTCTGCCAATGTATTATATTAGTACAATGGCCCACTCTTCATAATACTGAGTGATAGTATTTTATAGATTAACATTTATTTGATTCTGGTCTTTCCTCCACCAGAAAATAAGCTTCATAAATGCGCATGCAAAGAATAGAAAAAGAGAAAATAATTATGGACAATTACAATCTCCCATAGCATCAAAGACTTGTTCCCTCTCAATGTATTTTTTTCTGCCAATGTATTATATTAGTACAATGGCCCACTCTTCATAATACTGAGTGATAGTATTTTATAGATTAACATTTATTTGATTCTGGTCTTTCCTCCACCAGAAAATAAGCTTCATAAATGCAAGGATAGTGCCTGATACACAGTAAGCAGTATAATAACTTATATGAATGAATGAGTATATGAATGAACAAATGTCTTCTAACTTCCCATGACATTAAGAAATGTGCTAGATACCATTTGATTACAATCTGTATAGGCTGAGTAGCCTAGGACCAAAAGATGCTTTGTGGTCCAGTCATTCTTGTGAGCTTGGCCCTGGTTTTGGCTCATAGAGAAAATAAAGTAGGGCTTTGCTTTTGTTTTTAACAGACCTGGCATCTAATTTTTAGTATGGGAAAAGGTCAGGTAACACTCTAAATTGTGAAGAAGCACAGTTTTCGTCAATTTAACATATTTGTCAATGTTTTTCTAATAACAAAACAATACACTACAGAAAAAGTTTATACCAATTCTAATATTCATTTCCTAGATTAGAGATGAGATAGAGGAGCTGTTTTTGTTTTTTATTTCATTTTCTTACAGGATATGCTCTGTTTTTTGTTTTTGTTTTTGTTTTCTTTTGTTTTGTTTTGTTTTGTTTTTGTTTTTTTAGAGGTTTTTGCTATAGGGTATATGCACTCACCAGAAAGACAGAGAGAGACAGAGAGACAGAAAGCGAGAAATCACACCCCCAGGGAGGATGGCCACGCTGCAATCCCTTCTCCTCCATTCTCCTCTCGGGATCTTGGGCATGTACACACACGTGCCTGGCATGAGTTTAAGCCACAGGGTCCCTATTTTTTGCATTTTAAACAGCCAAAGGCAAGACTGAACAGCGATTTATTCATAATAATCTGCTCTGCCACTTTAGAGTTGACTGAGAGTTGACAAGTTAATGAACTTCCCCAAGTCATCTTATGAGTAGTAATAATACATACATCCTAGGGTGTTTTTGTTTTTGTTTTTGAGGGTTCAACTACTGTATAAATTGTAAATGCTCTGTGCACACTGAAATATGGTGTTTTATTTGTACTGGGTGAATATAGTGAAATTGTCAAGGTTCAAGCTAGGCTTTTAACAGAGAGTTATTAATTTACTTGCTCAGCCTTGAACGCAGATTTCTTGACATTCTTTTAAAGTGTGGAATCTATTTCCTGAGCCATTACAGCCACTGAACCAAAAGCGGCCACAAGAGTTGACGTGTTGGTCATAGTACCATCGCAACACATACTCTGTACAGTTCCCAGGCTTCAAAGGTTCCAGACATCTAGGATCTAGGGTGAGAAAAGAATAAGGTATTATTATAAGTTTTTCTTTTATAAGAGAGAAAAATTAAAAATGTTATGAAATTATGTAAACTATTTATCCTCCATGTATATTGACAGGCCAATTTAGAAAATATGGTTCCAAGTTAGTGAAAGAAAAGTTTTTTAATACCCAAAATTATTCTCCTCACCCAAAATTCTACCACTATTCATTCTATGGAAAATACAGTCTTTGATCTTCATTAAATCCTATTAAAAATGTATGTTTTCCTGAAAGTACAGATGAAACTTCCCAGGCTAATACTTTAGAGGGAATCAGTTGACAGTACAAAAATAAGACTTCATTTACTTTGGATTTGATTTAAAATCAAATTAATGTTTGGAATAAAAATTATTCTAGCTTCCTGTACACATCCCCTCTCATTTTTTAAAACAGAAAACCCCATGATCACACTTTGTTGTGCTTACTAATAAGGAAAAATCTCTTTAAGTTGCTAAAAAGGTAAAACGAGTTCTCTTTCTATCACAATGATCTTTTTAAAGGTGCAGGCCTTATAGGACAAGACACTACAAGATATGTATACTACATGATAAGACCCCTAATATCACTTTATCACTGTAAAAAAAGGAGAGCTACCATGAAGACATATTATACTAATGAGGTCCCTTTAATTACAGAGCTTCCCATTTGTTAAATCTCTTTTTATTATGTGATAATCCATAGGATCATGATTAGAATTTTCTAGCTGAGGAAGTGATTCCAAGTTGAGAGAAGACAAAAAATAAAATAAAATGAAACTAAGAAAATAATCACTGTCAATAACACGTATTCTGTGAGATAGTTTATATGTCCATAAGCTTCATTTTTCAATACAAAACCAATCCTTTCTCTAGCTCCTTCATTCTTTCTCCACATTTGGAATATGTCTCAATTCATTTATTTTCTAAAATTAATTTCTAAGTATACTTTTCATAGGAAGACTTCTTAGACCAAATGGAAAAGAATAGATTTCCATCATCTCTGTTCTTAGGAACAACAAATTAAATAATGTATATTGTGTGATTTGTTTTCAAGCCAATTTAAGTTTCTTTTGGGCAAAAATGTTGTATCTCTTGCATGTTGTATAGAAAATATGTATATAGTAATAAATTTCTAGAGATATTAACTCTTCAGAAAATATATTGATAAATCAGCATCTAGATTTTAGCTTTTTTTTCTTTCTTGTGTAATCAAGGAGGCACAAATCCAAATGCCTTCACGTGCAAAGGCGATCTGTAAAACATAGGGAGCAGTAAGAACTAAGGTAAACAGGTGACCACAGTCCTCTCTAAAGGCTTTCAAATTAATATAATAAATACAGTAAGAACTTTTAAAATTTTTCAAAAATTTACTCCACAGCCAGTTTTCAAATTCTATTTTGTTGTCATAAAAGTCATGACATAATTTTTTTTTGAGATTTTTGGTATAATGTACATGAGCTTACTAGAGAGACAGAGACACAAAAAGTGAGAAATCGCCCCCCAGGGGAGATAGCCACAATCCCTCCTCCTTCACTCACCTCTCGAGATTTTGGGCACAAATGCACATGCACCCAGTGTGAGTTTGAAGCCACTGGGTCCAGGAGTCAAACGGCAGTCGACTATGTGGGAGTCCAGCAACATAACCATTATGCCAACTGCTGGTCCCCATGATGTATTTTTTCTATGCACAAATGCATCATGACTTTTCCAATGGCCCAATATATATAATCTGTGAAGAACATCTTTTGTCCTTCCTGTTTAGAGTCATAATACTTTCTCTCTGGATGAGATTTCAGAGACCATCCTTCCTATTTCTCCCTCCCACTGTAGACACAGCAGAAGACTGACATACCTTTCTTCCCGTTGTACACCAAGTTTTCTGCCCGTAAAATCAAAGTGGGACTTGGAGTTCTGGTTTCCATACCCTCTATCCCACCTTCAGGGATGTTGAGCAATGACTCGTGGGTTGTGACAGCGCTGGGTAAGGTAGTGGTAGCCAGCCCATCAGCCCATGTCGGCTCTGAAAGCTCCTCTTCTTCATCCTGGACTCCAGGGACACTGAACTACACACAAGAAATTTACAACCAGCGCTGGGTAAGGTAGTGGTAGCCAGCCCAACAGCCCATGTCGGCTCTGAAAGCTCCTCCTCTTCATCCTGGACTCCAGGGACACTGATCTACACACAAGAAATTTACAATTTTTGTTTCTGATATCAAGTTAAAAAATCAGCTTGATTTGGGGAACATTTAAGAAAAAGTTCAGACTAGTTGCATCTCCTCTATCCTCTGATATTAAGTATTTCAAGTAAAAATTTGGAGAATAATACCTCTCCAATGTGTCATATAGCCCTTAATACCCAAGTTGCGGGCTTTTCCACCATTTCATGGGGTGTACATGTGAGTATACACATATTATACACTCACAGTGCCCACTTCCAGGCACAGATGCTTTTGCATTGGGCTTTCCAGAGAGGTCTACATGCAGAATGTCAAAGAAATGAGGTTGGGAGTTTATCACCATTCTTTTTTAGTCACTGCTATGAGGAGAATAAATAACCACTAATTTCTTTAACATTTTTTTCATGAGCTTATCTCTCCATTTTCTAACATCAGAGAACTTAATATATTCCAAAATATCTGCCACAAGCTCAACAAATTTTGAGATTGGAAATTCAGATGGCAGAGAGCAATATACAGCTGAAATAAAAAGCAGTAACAGTCACTTTTCATCTTGATTGCTTGCCCAATCTCAGCTGAAAACACCTTTTGCCTGCCCTTCCTATTAACCAGACTCAAGTAAATGCCAAATGCCATAGGATGCTAAGCTTCTAGAAATTTCTGAGAAATGTTTGATAGCTAAGGAACAAAGGAGTATAATTTCAGAAGCAAATTTTCTGAACTAAAATTTCAAAGTTTCATCTAAATTTATAATATATAATGAAACAAGAAAGATGTTCTGCTTAAGAAAAAAAAAGATCATGTCAGATATTCTAGACTGCAACTGTCAGGAGCTAGGCAAATTTTTTATGGGAATGATTTTTTCCTCTCTTGGATGTCAGTTACATGGTTAAGTCATTCATTCACCTCAGCCCCAACAGTTTTGATTTATCCTTAAAAGGCCCTTTCTTGTTTGTATGCTTTCTGTTTCATTTAATAAGCGAGTCTGTGAACTATTGGGTCATTGGAAAAGTCATGACACACGACATGACATACGTCATGACTTTATCAACAACTCAATAGATAAGGCTGTCTTGATGCTGTTGTGCTTAGGGTTCATGGCATGCCATGACCACAGACAGCTGCCATCGTGAACGGTCCACTGCTATCTAAATAGGTTTTTTTTTTTTTAATTCTGTATGCACGAATTCACAAACATGCCACACACACCATGAGGGAAGGATAATTAATTCTATCACTTGTGTATGTGTATTTTTACAATGATTGAAATACTACCAGGTGAATCAGAGCAAATATTTCCATTAGGATTGGTCATCAGTTCTATATAAAAAACCCTCCATTCAAATACAAAGGTAACTTTTCACTGGCCCCTAAAAACCACTTCTGGTACAATCAACACTAAAATTGTGGAGCACTTAAGGTTTTTCTTTCTTTCAGAATGATTCCGACCGTACATATGGCAATTTGAATGTGAACTTTTTTTTAAATCATAGAACTAGGAAATTCAAGGTTAAAATATTTTCTATTTCTCACTTTCTACTGAAGGGAATCTAAAACTCCAAATGATTAAAGAACTTCTCAAAAGTTACTAGTAAACTAGTGGCAAAATCTGAGAAAAATTCTGTTCTTAGGAAAGAAACACTGCTGTTTTTGGTTGCACATGTTTCATTTTAAGTAAGAAATAAGAGTTTGAAGAGTTTACAAAGAGTTTGAAGAGTTTACCAGACATAAAAACATTATTTATACTTCAGATCTACTGTAAGATGAGAACATTCCTTTGAAGGCAGCATGAAGGTTATTGTCAAGGAATTAACTCAGTCTTTAAACCTAACTTTTCCAGGTCCTGAGGCCTCATAGTTTATTCTTTACCTCTTGTAAGTTTAGAAATGTGTGTTTTCTATCTCAATCACAATCATATAAGAATTTTAGCAACCATAATATTACACTGCAAGTTCTCAAAATTTTTGAGAGGTTTTTCGCTATAAGGCATGTGCGTTTGCCAGACAGACAGAGAGAGATAGAGAGACAGAAAGCGAGAAGTCACCCCCCAGGGGGGATGGCCACGCCGCAATCCCTTCTCCTCCATTCTCCTCTCAGGATCTTGGGCACACATGCACACGTGCCCGGCATGAGTTTTAAGCCACCAGGTCCGGGATGCGAACCGCAAATACATGGGAGTCCAGTGAGATAGCCATTACGCTAACTGCTGGTCCCCAGAATAAAAATTTTTAATAAATGAAAATAATTTCATCAATTTTCTGACTCAGTGAGATTTCAGATTTAAACAAATACATAATTATAATGGTTCACAGTTTTTATAATTTTCTTCCTTATTACAAAAGCAAACATGTTCACTGACGAGAATTTTAGAACACATAGAGAAGAAAATCAGTCCAAATTGCAGAGATAATCATTTTTCATATTCATATGTGTTTTTGTTGTCTTTTTTTCCTATGTGCATATACTTTTATTTACTACCAAAAAATGCTATTGGTTTTTGTATGCTGTATGCTTTTTTATTTATTATAATCATTCCATATGTTTTATTTTGATTCAATAACACTTTTTAATACAGATTATGTATAACTTCAATGGTCGTTCTTGCACACTTAATTTATTTTTACTTTTCTTTTACAAACCTCATGGGTAATTACAGTGTCAAAGAAGACACACATTTAAGGCTTTTGAGACTAAGTTGTCTCCAAAACGTTTTTGATAAATTTGCACACTAAGAGCATATTTTTCTAAACAATCACCATTTATTAGCAATTGTGACTGAAAAAAAGAGATGTTTAGGTGAAAAATTCTTCAGCTGATCTATATGGTTCTGCAACTACCCCACCCACACATTTACAACCTCATCTTCCCCTTCTCCCAGCATATTTTGCCATGATCTTTTATTTATTCCATTTCTTCAATCTGTCTCAGTCTCAAAACTCAACCCTCTCACCACAGTCCACAGAAAATTGGTCTTCATCTGCAAAACCTTCTCCAGTAACTCTGTCAACACTATTTCTTTCTAGATGACACACAATACTATCTTTATTGACCCTGGTGATTAAGAACTTAACCATTAGCTTTATTCTATTAAGAGTAGCAGAATATGCCACTCCAAAATATGCCAAGTTGCCATATTGACTATGTTGAGCTGAAAGCAATAAAGAAGAAACGGACACAAGAAGAGCTCTTTGTCATTTCTCATTTGCCTAAAAGCAGGATGTACAAAGAGAGAGTTAATTACCAGAGACAATGCTAGAACCTTATCCCAGATGATGTTACCTAACAAACTTTTCTCATTAGCCTTTATCTTTCTTACCTTCCATTAGTTTCCCCATATATTTACTACCTTTGAAAGTCAAAGTTCTTTTCGTTGTTGGTTTTTGTTTTGTTTGGTTTTGTTTTGTTTGGTTTTCTCCTTTCGTTAAGATCCTATGTCAGACCTGCTTTCTGAGCACCATCTGCCCACCGGGAGGCTTGGGTTCTAGTCCTATGAGGCTTCTCCCATCATGAGGGGAGCCCAACACCCCAGGTTTGCCTTTGGGACTTCCAGCCCTATGTCCTGTGTACTGTAAACTCATGACTTGAGCCCCTTCACTATGTTATATCTCCTTAGTTCATCCCCAGTTCATCAGGAGGTGAAAGATTGGTAGAAGAGTCAACCACCTGAAGCTACCTATATAAACTTAATCTGCTCTGATCTGGATGACTCTACCTTCTAGTAGGAACATACTTGGGATTTAAAGGAGATATTCCCCTCCTCTGATACTACAAAATCTACTCCAATAAATAGGAAGAAGTGAATACTGTTTCAGATGACCAAAAACCAGTGCAGAGACAGAAGAAACATGAGAAAAGAAGGAAATAACTCTCATCCTAGGGAACATAATAAACCCTCACCAACAAAGAACAGCACAGAAGAATTCACAGAAATGTCAGAAAAAGAATTCTAAACATATTGTGACAAAAGTCAACGAGATACAAGAGGAAACACAATCAATTCCAGGAAATGAGAAAATCATTCTAGGATATGAAATAGAAATTCCATAAAGAAACAGACACCCTAAAAAGGAATCAAATGAAATTTCTGGAAATGAAGAATACAATACAGAAATGAAAATCTCCTCTGAGGGCCAGCAGGTGGCATAGAAGTTATGGTGCTGGACTCCCACGTGGCCGACCATGGTTGGAGTCCCAGACCCAGTGGCTTGAAACTCATGCCAGGCATATGTGCATGGGGGCTCAAAATCCCAAGAGGAGAATAAAGGAAACAGGATTGTGGCATGGCCATCCTCCCAAGCACACACACCCTATGACCAAAAATAAAATAAAATAAAATAAAATAAAATAAAATAAAATAAAATAAAATAAAATAAAATAAAGACAAGAGAAATGTAAAGTTACTTACAAAGGTTATACTGTTAGGCAAACATCAGATCTCTTCACTAAAACAATGGAAGTGAGGAAAGAATGGGAAAACATATTCAAAATGTTCAAAGAAAAACAATTTTAATGAAGAATACTATACCCAGTAAGATTATCCTTCAAACGAGAAGAAATAAAATCATTCTCAGATAAACAAAAACTGAAAGAATTCACCAACACCAGCTCTTCAAGAAGTACTGCAAGGAGTATGTCAGAAAAACTAAAGAAAGAAGGACAAACAAAATAAAAGAACAACAACAATAACAAAAAAAAAACAATAAATGGCTAACAGAATGGCAAGGATAAGTCTGCAAATATCAATAATAATGTTGAATGTTAGTGGATTAAATTTTCCAACTAAAAGACACAGACTGACTGAATGGATTAAAAAAACAGGAGCTCTTTATATGCTACTTACAAGAAACACACCTCATTGATAAAGATATATATAAACTAAAAGTGAA